ACATGAGTAAACATGAGGGGTTGAGTGGAGCAGCGCAGCAAGCAGAGGAGGTGAACATGAGTAAACATGAGGGGTTGAGTGGAGCAGCGCAGCGAGCAGAGGAGGTGAACATGAGTAAACATGAGGGGTTGAGTGGAGCAGTGCAGCGAGCAGAGGAGGTGAACATGAGTAAACATGAGGGGTTGAGTGGAGCAGTGCAGCGAGCAGAGGAGGTGAACATGAGTAAACATGAGGGGTTGAGTGGAGCAGTGCAGCGAGCAGAGGAGGTGAACATGAGTAAACATGAGGGGTTGAGTGGAGCAGTGCAGCGAGCAGAGGAGGTGAACATGAGTAAACATGAGGGGTTGAGTGGAGCAGTGCAGCGAGCAGAGGAGGTGAACATGAGTAAACATGAGGGGTTGAGTGGAGCAGTGCAGCGAGCAGAGGAGGTGAACATGAGTAAACATGAGGGGTTGAGTGGAGCAGTGCAGCGAGCAGAGGAGGTGAACATGAGTAAACATGAGGGGTTGAGTGGAGCAGTGCAGCGAGCAGAGGAGGTGAACATGAGTAAACATGAGGGGTTGAGTGGAGCAGTGCAGCGAGCAGAGGAGGTGAACATGAGTAAACATGAGGGGTTGAGTGGAGCAGTGCAGCGAGCAGAGGAGGTGAACATGAGTAAACATGAGGGGTTGAGTGGAGCAGTGCAGCGAGCAGAGGAGGTGAACATGAGTAAACATGAGGGGTTGAGTGGAGCAGTGCAGCGAGCAGAGGAGGTGAACATGAGTAAACATGAGGGGTTGAGTGGAGCAGTGCAGCGAGCAGAGGAGGTGAACATGAGTAAACATGAGGGGTTGAGTGGAGCAGTGCAGCGAGCAGAGGAGGTGAACATGAGTAAACATGAGGGGTTGAGTGGAGCAGTGCAGCGAGCAGAGGAGGTGAACATGAGTAAACATGAGGGGTTGAGTGGAGCAGTGCAGCGAGCAGAGGAGGTGAACATGAGTAAACATGAGGGGTTGAGTGGAGCAGTGCAGCGAGCAGAGGAGGTGAACATGAGTAAACATGAGGGGTTGAGTGGAGCAGTGCAGCGAGCAGAGGAGGTGAACATGAGTAAACATGAGGGGTTGAGCGGAGCAGTGCAGCGAGCAGAGGAGGTGAACATGAGTAAACATGAGGGGTTGAGTGGAGCAGTGCAGCGAGCAGAGGAGGTGAACATGAGTAAACATGAGGGGTTGAGTGGAGCAGTGCAGCGAGCAGAGGAGGTGAACATGAGTAAACATGAGGGGTTGAGTGGAGCAGTGCAGCGAGCAGAGGAGGTGAACATGAGTAAACATGAGGGGTTGAGTGGAGCAGTGCAGCGAGCAGAGGAGGTGAACATGAGTAAACATGAGGGGTTGAGTGGAGCAGCGCAGCGAGCAGAGGAGGTGAACATGAGTAAACATGAGGGGTTGAGTGGAGCAGTGCAGCGAGCAGAGGAGGTGAACATGAGTAAACATGAGGGGTTGAGTGGAGCAGCGCAGCAAGCAGAGGAGGTGAACATGAGTAAACATGAGGGGTTGAGTGGAGCAGCGCAGCGAGCAGAGGAGGTGAACATGAGTAAACATGAGGGGTTGAGTGGAGCAGTGCAGCGAGCAGAGGAGGTGAACATGAGTAAACATGAGGGGTTGAGTGGAGCAGTGCAGCGAGCAGAGGAGGTGAACATGAGTAAACATGAGGGGTTGAGTGGAGCAGTGCAGCGAGCAGAGGAGGTGAACATGAGTAAACATGAGGGGTTGAGTGGAGCAGTGCAGCGAGCAGAGGAGGTGAACATGAGTAAACATGAGGGGTTGAGTGGAGCAGCGCAGCGAGCAGAGGAGGTGAACATGAGTAAACATGAGGGGTTGAGTGGAGCAGTGCAGCGAGCAGAGGAGGTGAACATGAGTAAACATGAGGGGTTGAGTGGAGCAGTGCAGCGAGCAGAGGAGGTGAACATGAGTAAACATGAGGGGTTGAGTGGAGCAGCGCAGCGAGCAGAGGAGGTGAACATGAGTAAACATGAGGGGTTGAGTGGAGCAGTGCAGCGAGCAGAGGAGGTGAACATGAGTAAACATGAGGGGTTGAGTGGAGCAGTGCAGCGAGCAGAGGAGGTGAACATGAGTAAACATGAGGGGTTGAGTGGAGCAGCGCAGCAAGCAGAGGAGGTGAACATGAGTAAACATGAGGGGTTGAGTGGAGCAGCGCAGCAAGCAGAGGAGGTGAACATGAGTAAACATGAGGGGTTGAGTGGAGCAGTGCAGCGAGCAGAGGAGGTGAACATGAGTAAACATGAGGGGTTGAGTGGAGCAGTGCAGCGAGCAGAGGAGGTGAACATGAGTAAACATGAGGGGTTGAGTGGAGCAGTGCAGCGAGCAGAGGAGGTGAACATGAGTAAACATGAGGGGTTGAGTGGAGCAGTGCAGCGAGCAGAGGAGGTGAACATGAGTAAACATGAGGGGTTGAGTGGAGCAGTGCAGCGAGCAGAGGAGGTGAACATGAGTAAACATGAGGGGTTGAGTGGAGCAGTGCAGCGAGCAGAGGAGGTGAACATGAGTAAACATGAGGGGTTGAGTGGAGCAGTGCAGCGAGCAGAGGAGGTGAACATGAGTAAACATGAGGGGTTGAGTGGAGCAGTGCAGCGAGCAGAGGAGGTGAACATGAGTAAACATGAGGGGTTGAGTGGAGCAGTGCAGCGAGCAGAGGAGGTGAACATGAGTAAACATGAGGGGTTGAGTGGAGCAGTGCAGCGAGCAGAGGAGGTGAACATGAGTAAACATGAGGGGTTGAGTGGAGCAGTGCAGCGAGCAGAGGAGGTGAACATGAGTAAACATGAGGGGTTGAGTGGAGCAGTGCAGCGAGCAGAGGAGGTGAACATGAGTAAACATGAGGGGTTGAGTGGAGCAGTGCAGCGAGCAGAGGAGGTGAACATGAGTAAACATGAGGGGTTGAGTGGAGCAGTGCAGCGAGCAGAGGAGGTGAACATGAGTAAACATGAGGGGTTGAGTGGAGCAGTGCAGCGAGCAGAGGAGGTGAACATGAGTAAACATGAGGGGTTGAGTGGAGCAGTGCAGCGAGCAGAGGAGGTGAACATGAGTAAACATGAGGGGTTGAGTGGAGCAGTGCAGCGAGCAGAGGAGGTGAACATGAGTAAACATGAGGGGTTGAGTGGAGCAGTGCAGCGAGCAGAGGAGGTGAACATGAGTAAACATGAGGGGTTGAGTGGAGCAGTGCAGCGAGCAGAGGAGGTGAACATGAGTAAACATGAGGGGTTGAGTGGAGCAGTGCAGCGAGCAGAGGAGGTGAACATGAGTAAACATGAGGGGTTGAGTGGAGCAGTGCAGCGAGCAGAGGAGGTGAACATGAGTAAACATGAGGGGTTGAGTGGAGCAGTGCAGCGAGCAGAGGAGGTGAACATGAGTAAACATGAGGGGTTGAGTGGAGCAGTGCAGCGAGCAGAGGAGGTGAACATGAGTAAACATGAGGGGTTGAGTGGAGCAGTGCAGCGAGCAGAGGAGGTGAACATGAGTAAACATGAGGGGTTGAGTGGAGCAGTGCAGCGAGCAGAGGAGGTGAACATGAGTAAACATGAGGGGTTGAGTGGAGCAGTGCAGCGAGCAGAGGAGGTGAACATGAGTAAACATGAGGGGTTGAGTGGAGCAGTGCAGCGAGCAGAGGAGGTGAACATGAGTAAACATGAGGGGTTGAGTGGAGCAGCGCAGCAAGCAGAGGAGGTGAACATGAGTAAACATGAGGGGTTGAGTGGAGCAGCGCAGCAAGCAGAGGAGGTGAACATGAGTAAACATGAGGGGTTGAGTGGAGCAGTGCAGCGAGCAGAGGAGGTGAACATGAGTAAACATGAGGGGTTGAGTGGAGCAGTGCAGCGAGCAGAGGAGGTGAACATGAGTAAACATGAGGGGTTGAGTGGAGCAGTGCAGCGAGCAGAGGAGGTGAACATGAGTAAACATGAGGGGTTGAGTGGAGCAGTGCAGCGAGCAGAGGAGGTGAACATGAGTAAACATGAGGGGTTGAGTGGAGCAGTGCAGCGAGCAGAGGAGGTGAACATGAGTAAACATGAGGGGTTGAGTGGAGCAGTGCAGCGAGCAGAGGAGGTGAACATGAGTAAACATGAGGGGTTGAGTGGAGCAGTGCAGCGAGCAGAGGAGGTGAACATGAGTAAACATGAGGGGTTGAGTGGAGCAGTGCAGCGAGCAGAGGAGGTGAACATGAGTAAACATGAGGGGTTGAGTGGAGCAGTGCAGCGAGCAGAGGAGGTGAACATGAGTAAACATGAGGGGTTGAGTGGAGCAGTGCAGCGAGCAGAGGAGGTGAACATGAGTAAACATGAGGGGTTGAGTGGAGCAGTGCAGCGAGCAGAGGAGGTGAACATGAGTAAACATGAGGGGTTGAGTGGAGCAGTGCAGCGAGCAGAGGAGGTGAACATGAGTAAACATGAGGGGTTGAGTGGAGCAGTGCAGCGAGCAGAGGAGGTGAACATGAGTAAACATGAGGGGTTGAGTGGAGCAGCGCAGCAAGCAGAGGAGGTGAACATGAGTAAACATGAGGGGTTGAGTGGAGCAGCGCAGCAAGCAGAGGAGGTGAACATGAGTAAACATGAGGGGTTGAGTGGAGCAGCGCAGCGAGCAGAGGAGGTGAACATGAGTAAACATGAGGGGTTGAGTGGAGCAGCGCAGCGAGCAGAGGAGGTGAACATGAGTAAACATGAGGGGTTGAGTGGAGCAGTGCAGCGAGCAGAGGAGGTGAACATGAGTAAACATGAGGGGTTGAGTGGAGCAGTGCAGCGAGCAGAGGAGGTGAACATGAGTAAACATGAGGGGTTGAGTGGAGCAGTGCAGCGAGCAGAGGAGGTGAACATGAGTAAACATGAGGGGTTGAGTGGAGCAGCGCAGCAAGCAGAGGAGGTGAACATGAGTAAACATGAGGGGTTGAGTGGAGCAGCGCAGCAACAGAGGAGGTGAACATGAGTAAACATGAGGGGTTGAGTGGAGCAGCGCAGCGAGCAGAGGAGGTGAACATGAGTAAACATGAGGGGTTGAGTGGAGCAGTGCAGCGAGCAGAGGAGGTGAACATGAGTAAACATGAGGGGTTGAGTGGAGCAGTGCAGCGAGCAGAGGAGGTGAACATGAGTAAACATGAGGGGTTGAGTGGAGCAGTGCAGCGAGCAGAGGAGGTGAACATGAGTAAACATGAGGGGTTGAGTGGAGCAGCGCAGCGAGCAGAGGAGGTGAACATGAGTAAACATGAGGGGTTGAGTGGAGCAGCGCAGCGAGCAGAGGAGGTGAACATGAGTAAACATGAGGGGTTGAGTGGAGCAGTGCAGCGAGCAGAGGAGGTGAACATGAGTAAAAATGAGGGGTTGAGTGGAGCAGCGCAGCGAGCAGAGGAGGTGAACATGAGTAAAAATGAGGGGTTGAGTGGAGCAGCGCAGCGAGCAGAGGAGGTGAACATGAGTAAACATGAGGGGTTGAGTGGAGCAGTGCAGCGAGCAGAGGAGGTGAACATGAGTAAACATGAGGGGTTGAGTGGAGCAGCGCAGCAAGCAGAGGAGGTGAACATGAGTAAACATGAGGGGTTGAGTGGAGCAGCGCAGCAAGCAGAGGAGGTGAACATGAGTAAACATGAGGGGTTGAGTGGAGCAGTGCAGCGAGCAGAGGAGGTGAACATGAGTAAACATGAGGGGTTGAGTGGAGCAGCGCAGCGAGCAGAGGAGGTGAACATGAGTAAACATGAGGGGTTGAGTGGAGCAGTGCAGCGAGCAGAGGAGGTGAACATGAGTAAACATGAGGGGTGAGTGGAGCAGTGCAGCGAGCAGAGGAGGTGAACATGAGTAAACATGAGGGGTTGAGTGGAGCAGTGCAGCGAGCAGAGGAGGTGAACATGAGTAAACATGAGGGGTTGAGTGGAGCAGCGCAGCAAGCAGAGGAGGTGAACATGAGTAAACATGAGGGGTTGAGTGGAGCAGCGCAGCGAGCAGAGGAGGTGAACATGAGTAAACATGAGGGGTTGAGTGGAGCAGTGCAGCGAGCAGAGGAGGTGAACATGAGTAAACATGAGGGGTTGAGTGGAGCAGTGCAGCGAGCAGAGGAGGTGAACATGAGTAAACATGAGGGGTTGAGTGGAGCAGTGCAGCGAGCAGAGGAGGTGAACATGAGTAAACATGAGGGGTTGAGTGGAGCAGTGCAGCGAGCAGAGGAGGTGAACATGAGTAAACATGAGGGGTTGAGTGGAGCAGTGCAGCGAGCAGAGGAGGTGAACATGAGTAAACATGAGGGGTTGAGTGGAGCAGCGCAGCGAGCAGAGGAGGTGAACATGAGTAAACATGAGGGGTTGAGTGGAGCAGTGCAGCGAGCAGAGGAGGTGAACATGAGTAAACATGAGGGGTTGAGTGGAGCAGTGCAGCAAGCGAGCAGAGGAGGTGAACATGAGTAAACATGAGGGGTTGAGTGGAGCAGTGCAGCAAGCGAGCAGAGGAGGTGAACATGAGTAAACATGAGGGGTTGAGTGGAGCAGTGCAGCGAGCAGAGGAGGTGAACATGAGTAAACATGAGGGGTTGAGTGGAGCAGTGCAGCGAGCAGAGGAGGTGAACATGAGTAAACATGAGGGGTTGAGTGGAGCAGCGCAGCGAGCAGAGGAGGTGAACATGAGTAAACATGAGGGGTTGAGTGGAGCAGTGCAGCAAACAGAGGAGGTGAACATGAGTAAACATGAGGGGTTGAGTGGAGCAGCGCAGCAAACAGAGGAGGTGAACATGAGTAAACATGAGGGGTTGAGTGGAGCAGTGCAGCGAGCAGAGGAGGTGAACATGAGTAAACATGAGGGGTTGAGTGGAGCAGTGCAGCGAGCAGAGGAGGTGAACATGAGTAAACATGAGGGGTTGAGTGGAGCAGTGCAGCGAGCAGAGGAGGTGAACATGAGTAAACATGAGGGGTTGAGTGGAGCAGTGCAGCGAGCAGAGGAGGTGAACATGAGTAAACATGAGGGGTTGAGTGGAGCAGTGCAGCGAGCAGAGGAGGTGAACATGAGTAAACATGAGGGGTTGAGTGGAGCAGTGCAGCGAGCAGAGGAGGTGAACATGAGTAAACATGAGGGGTTGAGTGGAGCAGTGCAGCGAGCAGAGGAGGTGAACATGAGTAAACATGAGGGGTTGAGTGGAGCAGTGCAGCGAGCAGAGGAGGTGAACATGAGTAAACATGAGGGGTTGAGTGGAGCAGCGCAGCAAGCAGAGGAGGTGAACATGAGTAAACATGAGGGGTTGAGTGGAGCAGCGCAGCAAGCAGAGGAGGTGAACATGAGTAAACATGAGGGGTTGAGTGGAGCAGCGCAGCGAGCAGAGGAGGTGAACATGAGTAAACATGAGGGGTTGAGTGGAGCAGCGCAGCGAGCAGAGGAGGTGAACATGAGTAAACATGAGGGGTTGAGTGGAGCAGTGCAGCGAGCAGAGGAGGTGAACATGAGTAAACATGAGGGGTTGAGTGGAGCAGTGCAGCGAGCAGAGGAGGTGAACATGAGTAAACATGAGGGGTTGAGTGGAGCAGTGCAGCGAGCAGAGGAGGTGAACATGAGTAAACATGAGGGGTTGAGTGGAGCAGTGCAGCGAGCAGAGGAGGTGAACATGAGTAAACATGAGGGGTTGAGTGGAGCAGTGCAGCGAGCAGAGGAGGTGAACATGAGTAAACATGAGGGGTTGAGTGGAGCAGTGCAGCGAGCAGAGGAGGTGAACATGAGTAAACATGAGGGGTTGAGTGGAGCAGTGCAGCGAGCAGAGGAGGTGAACATGAGTAAACATGAGGGGTTGAGTGGAGCAGTGCAGCGAGCAGAGGAGGTGAACATGAGTAAACATGAGGGGTTGAGTGGAGCAGTGCAGCGAGCAGAGGAGGTGAACATGAGTAAACATGAGGGGTTGAGTGGAGCAGTGCAGCGAGCAGAGGAGGTGAACATGAGTAAACATGAGGGGTTGAGTGGAGCAGTGCAGCGAGCAGAGGAGGTGAACATGAGTAAACATGAGGGGTTGAGTGGAGCAGCGCAGCAAGCAGAGGAGGTGAACATGAGTAAACATGAGGGGTTGAGTGGAGCAGCGCAGCGAGCAGAGGAGGTGAACATGAGTAAACATGAGGGGTTGAGTGGAGCAGCGCAGCGAGCAGAGGAGGTGAACATGAGTAAACATGAGGGGTTGAGTGGAGCAGCGCAGCGAGCAGAGGAGGTGAACATGAGTAAACATGAGGGGTTGAGTGGAGCAGCGCAGCGAGCAGAGGAGGTGAACATGAGTAAACATGAGGGGTTGAGTGGAGCAGTGCAGCGAGCAGAGGAGGTGAACATGAGTAAACATGAGGGGTTGAGTGGAGCAGTGCAGCGAGCAGAGGAGGTGAACATGAGTAAACATGAGGGGTTGAGTGGAGCAGCGCAGCAAGCAGAGGAGGTGAACATGAGTAAACATGAGGGGTTGAGTGGAGCAGCGCAGCAAGCAGAGGAGGTGAACATGAGTAAACATGAGGGGTTGAGTGGAGCAGCGCAGCGAGCAGAGGAGGTGAACATGAGTAAACATGAGGGGTTGAGTGGAGCAGCGCAGCGAGCAGAGGAGGTGAACATGAGTAAACATGAGGGGTTGAGTGGAGCAGTGCAGCGAGCAGAGGAGGTGAACATGAGTAAACATGAGGGGTTGAGTGGAGCAGTGCAGCGAGCAGAGGAGGTGAACATGAGTAAACATGAGGGGTTGAGTGGAGCAGCGCAGCGAGCAGAGGAGGTGAACATGAGTAAACATGAGGGGTTGAGTGGAGCAGCGCAGCGAGCAGAGGAGGTGAACATGAGTAAACATGAGGGGTTGAGTGGAGCAGCGCAGCGAGCAGAGGAGGTGAACATGAGTAAAAATGAGGGGTTGAGTGGAGCAGCGCAGCGAGCAGAGGAGGTGAACATGAGTAAACATGAGGGGTTGAGTGGAGCAGTGCAGCGAGCAGAGGAGGTGAACATGAGTAAACATGAGGGGTTGAGTGGAGCAGTGCAGCGAGCAGAGGAGGTGAACATGAGTAAACATGAGGGGTTGAGTGGAGCAGCGCAGCAAGCAGAGGAGGTGAACATGAGTAAACATGAGGGGTTGAGTGGAGCAGCGCAGCAAGCAGAGGAGGTGAACATGAGTAAACATGAGGGGTTGAGTGGAGCAGTGCAGCGAGCAGAGGAGGTGAACATGAGTAAACATGAGGGGTTGAGTGGAGCAGCGCAGCGAGCAGAGGAGGTGAACATGAGTAAACATGAGGGGTTGAGTGGAGCAGCGCAGCGAGCAGAGGAGGTGAACATGAGTAAACATGAGGGGTTGAGTGGAGCAGTGCAGCGAGCAGAGGAGGTGAACATGAGTAAACATGAGGGGTTGAGTGGAGCAGTGCAGCGAGCAGAGGAGGTGAACATGAGTAAACATGAGGGGTTGAGTGGAGCAGCGCAGCGAGCAGAGGAGGTGAACATGAGTAAACATGAGGGGTTGAGTGGAGCAGCGCAGCGAGCAGAGGAGGTGAACATGAGTAAACATGAGGGGTTGAGTGGAGCAGCGCAGCGAGCAGAGGAGGTGAACATGAGTAAACATGAGGGGTTGAGTGGAGCAGTGCAGCGAGCAGAGGAGGTGAACATGAGTAAACATGAGGGGTTGAGTGGAGCAGTGCAGCGAGCAGAGGAGGTGAACATGAGTAAACATGAGGGGTTGAGTGGAGCAGTGCAGCGAGCAGAGGAGGTGAACATGAGTAAACATGAGGGGTTGAGTGGAGCAGCGCAGCGAGCAGAGGAGGTGAACATGAGTAAACATGATGGGTTGAGTGGAGCAGCGCAGCAAGCAGAGGAGGTGAACATGAGTAAACATGAGGGGTTGAGTGGAGCAGCGCAGCAAGCAGAGGAGGTGAACATGAGTAAACATGAGGGGTTGAGTGGAGCAGTGCAGCGAGCAGAGGAGGTGAACATGAGTAAACATGAGGGGTTGAGTGGAGCAGTGCAGCGAGCAGAGGAGGTGAACATGAGTAAACATGAGGGGTTGAGTGGAGCAGTGCAGCGAGCAGAGGAGGTGAACATGAGTAAACATGAGGGGTTGAGTGGAGCAGTGCAGCGAGCAGAGGAGGTGAACATGAGTAAACATGAGGGGTTGAGTGGAGCAGTGCAGCGAGCAGAGGAGGTGAACATGAGTAAACATGAGGGGTTGAGTGGAGCAGTGCAGCGAGCAGAGGAGGTGAACATGAGTAAACATGAGGGGTTGAGTGGAGCAGTGCAGCGAGCAGAGGAGGTGAACATGAGTAAACATGAGGGGTTGAGTGGAGCAGCGCAGCGAGCAGAGGAGGTGAACATGAGTAAACATGAGGGGTTGAGTGGAGCAGCGCAGCGAGCAGAGGAGGTGAACATGAGTAAACATGAGGGGTTGAGTGGAGCAGCGCAGCGAGCAGAGGAGGTGAACATGAGTAAACATGAGGGGTTGAGTGGAGCAGCGCAGCAAGCAGAGGAGGTGAACATGAGTAAACATGAGGGGTTGAGTGGAGCAGCGCAGCAAGCAGAGGAGGTGAACATGAGTAAACATGAGGGGTTGAGTGGAGCAGCGCAGCAAGCAGAGGAGGTGAACATGAGTAAACATGAGGGGTTGAGTGGAGCAGCGCAGCGAGCAGAGGAGGTGAACATGAGTAAACATGAGGGGTTGAGTGGAGCAGTGCAGCGAGCAGAGGAGGTGAACATGAGTAAACATGAGGGGTTGAGTGGAGCAGTGCAGCGAGCAGAGGAGGTGAACATGAGTAAACATGAGGGGTTGAGTGGAGCAGCGCAGCGAGCAGAGGAGGTGAACATGAGTAAACATGAGGGGTTGAGTGGAGCAGCGCAGCGAGCAGAGGAGGTGAACATGAGTAAACATGAGGGGTTGAGTGGAGCAGCGCAGCGAGCAGAGGAGGTGAACATGAGTAAACATGAGGGGTTGAGTGGAGCAGCGCAGCAAGCAGAGGAGGTGAACATGAGTAAACATGAGGGGTTGAGTGGAGCAGCGCAGCGAGCAGAGGAGGTGAACATGAGTAAACATGAGGGGTTGAGTGGAGCAGTGCAGCGAGCAGAGGAGGTGAACATGAGTAAACATGAGGGGTTGAGTGGAGCAGTGCAGCGAGCAGAGGAGGTGAACATGAGTAAACATGAGGGGTTGAGTGGAGCAGTGCAGCGAGCAGAGGAGGTGAACATGAGTAAACATGAGGGGTTGAGTGGAGCAGCGCAGCAAACAGAGGAGGTGAACATGAGTAAACATGAGGGGTTGAGTGGAGCAGCGCAGCAAACAGAGGAGGTGAACATGAGTAAACATGAGGGGTTGAGTGGAGCAGCGCAGCGAGCAGAGGAGGTGAACATGAGTAAACATGAGGGGTTGAGTGGAGCAGCGCAGCGAGCAGAGGAGGTGAACATGAGTAAACATGAGGGGTTGAGTGGAGCAGTGCAGCGAGCAGAGGAGGTGAACATGAGTAAACATGAGGGGTTGAGTGGAGCAGTGCAGCGAGCAGAGGAGGTGAACATGAGTAAACATGAGGGGTTGAGTGGAGCAGCGCAGCAAGCAGAGGAGGTGAACATGAGTAAACATGAGGGGTTGAGTGGAGCAGCGCAGCAAGCAGAGGAGGTGAACATGAGTAAACATGAGGGGTTGAGTGGAGCAGCGCAGCGAGCAGAGGAGGTGAACATGAGTAAACATGAGGGGTTGAGTGGAGCAGCGCAGCAAGCAGAGGAGGTGAACATGAGTAAACATGAGGGGTTGAGTGGAGCAGCGCAGCAAGCAGAGGAGGTGAACATGAGTAAACATGAGGGGTTGAGTGGAGCAGCGCAGCGAGCAGAGGAGGTGAACATGAGTAAACATGAGGGGTTGAGTGGAGCAGCGCAGCGAGCAGAGGAGGTGAACATGAGTAAACATGAGGGGTTGAGTGGAGCAGCGCAGCGAGCAGAGGAGGTGAACATGAGTAAACATGAGGGGTTGAGTGGAGCAGCGCAGCGAGCAGAGGAGGTGAACATGAGTAAACATGAGGGGTTGAGTGGAGCAGCGCAGCGAGCAGAGGAGGTGAACATGAGTAAACATGAGGGGTTGAGTGGAGCAGCGCAGCGAGCAGAGGAGGTGAACATGAGTAAACATGAGGGGTTGAGTGGAGCAGTGCAGCGAGCAGAGGAGGTGAACATGAGTAAACATGAGGGGTTGAGTGGAGCAGTGCAGCGAGCAGAGGAGGTGAACATGAGTAAACATGAGGGGTTGAGTGGAGCAGTGCAGCGAGCAGAGGAGGTGAACATGAGTAAACATGAGGGGTTGAGTGGAGCAGTGCAGCGAGCAGAGGAGGTGAACATGAGTAAACATGAGGGGTTGAGTGGAGCAGTGCAGCGAGCAGAGGAGGTGAACATGAGTAAACATGAGGGGTTGAGTGGAGCAGTGCAGCGAGCAGAGGAGGTGAACATGAGTAAACATGAGGGGTTGAGTGGAGCAGTGCAGCGAGCAGAGGAGGTGAACATGAGTAAACATGAGGGGTTGAGTGGAGCAGTGCAGCGAGCAGAGGAGGTGAACATGAGTAAACATGAGGGGTTGAGTGGAGCAGTGCAGCGAGCAGAGGAGGTGAACATGAGTAAACATGAGGGGTTGAGTGGAGCAGTGCAGCGAGCAGAGGAGGTGAACATGAGTAAACATGAGGGGTTGAGTGGAGCAGCGCAGCAAGCAGAGGAGGTGAACATGAGTAAACATGAGGGGTTGAGTGGAGCAGCGCAGCGAGCAGAGGAGGTGAACATGAGTAAACATGAGGGGTTGAGTGGAGCAGCGCAGCGAGCAGAGGAGGTGAACATGAGTAAACATGAGGGGTTGAGTGGAGCAGCGCAGCGAGCAGAGGAGGTGAACATGAGTAAACATGAGGGGTTGAGTGGAGCAGTGCAGCGAGCAGAGGAGGTGAACATGAGTAAACATGAGGGGTTGAGTGGAGCAGCGCAGCGAGCAGAGGAGGTGAACATGAGTAAACATGAGGGGTTGAGTGGAGCAGCGCAGCGAGCAGAGGAGGTGAACATGAGTAAACATGAGGGGTTGAGTGGAGCAGTGCAGCGAGCAGAGGAGGTGAACATGAGTAAACATGAGGGGTTGAGTGGAGCAGTGCAGCGAGCAGAGGAGGTGAACATGAGTAAACATGAGGGGTTGAGTGGAGCAGTGCAGCGAGCAGAGGAGGTGAACATGAGTAAACATGAGGGGTTGAGTGGAGCAGTGCAGCGAGCAGAGGAGGTGAACATGAGTAAACATGAGGGGTTGAGTGGAGCAGTGCAGCGAGCAGAGGAGGTGAACATGAGTAAACATGAGGGGTTGAGTGGAGCAGTGCAGCGAGCAGAGGAGGTGAACATGAGTAAACATGAGGGGTTGAGTGGAGCAGTGCAGCGAGCAGAGGAGGTGAACATGAGTAAACATGAGGGGTTGAGTGGAGCAGTGCAGCGAGCAGAGGAGGTGAACATGAGTAAACATGAGGGGTTGAGTGGAGCAGTGCAGCGAGCAGAGGAGGTGAACATGAGTAAACATGAGGGGTTGAGTGGAGCAGTGCAGCGAGCAGAGGAGGTGAACATGAGTAAACATGAGGGGTTGAGTGGAGCAGTGCAGCGAGCAGAGGAGGTGAACATGAGTAAACATGAGGGGTTGAGTGGAGCAGTGCAGCGAGCAGAGGAGGTGAACATGAGTAAACATGAGGGGTTGAGTGGAGCAGTGCAGCGAGCAGAGGAGGTGAACATGAGTAAACATGAGGGGTTGAGTGGAGCAGTGCAGCGAGCAGAGGAGGTGAACATGAGTAAACATGAGGGGTTGAGTGGAGCAGTGCAGCGAGCAGAGGAGGTGAACATGAGTAAACATGAGGGGTTGAGTGGAGCAGTGCAGCGAGCAGAGGAGGTGAACATGAGTAAACATGAGGGGTTGAGTGGAGCAGTGCAGCGAGCAGAGGAGGTGAACATGAGTAAACATGAGGGGTTGAGTGGAGCAGTGCAGCGAGCAGAGGAGGTGAACATGAGTAAACATGAGGGGTTGAGTGGAGCAGTGCAGCGAGCAGAGGAAGTGAACAGCAGGGAAGGAGTGGCACAGCACTTGGAGTTATGCCTGGGGGTTCATAGCTGTGTTCCTCCACCCTGGCGTGTTGACATAGCGAGTGCCACACCATATGTATATATAAATACTTTTTTCTATGTACATGTGTATATATTACTTAAATGCACTGCCTGTCATTCAGGCGCACACGGACTGTGGCACAGTGAGTATTGCACCATTTTCTGCTTTTGAGTCGACTCAAAAGCAGGCACAGTGAGGAGTGCACCACTTTCTTTCATTCCATTCCATTCTGTCGTCATTTCAATAGCCCAATGCAGTATCCCATGAGGTTTGCATGGAGTCTCCTTCCCCGTTTCACCACTTCATCAGCATCTGATTCTGCCTGGCCTCTCATCTTTCCCCACCACCCTTTTCTCCTCCTCATTGCCCCACCACCCACTTTCCCGTCCTCCTCTCCTGTATCTGCTGCACCTTTGCATGGCATGCAAGGTGGGCCAGTTTCATGTGGAGCAGGGAGTGGGGCATGAGGTGACAGAGGCCATGTGGCACAAGGCAATTACATGGATGCAAAGACACATGGCGGTGCGATGATGGGGAGTCACCCATGTGCATGCGAGGTGGGCCAGTCCCATGTGGAGCAGGGGCTGGCGCATGAGGTGACGGAGGCGATGTGGCACAATGCAATTACATGCATGCAAAGATACGTGGTGGCGAATTGGCTGGTTTTGAGGCGCCTCAAAACGAGGCGATGTGGCACATGGATGCAAATATACCTGGTGGCGAAATGACTGGGATTAGGGGATCCGTGCAGATGCCTACTTTGATCTGGGGCTATAAGCTTTTGTACATAGTCAGCCTGGTTGTTTCATAGCCCACCTAGTCTCTAGGCCTTTCTATTACAATACAACCATCTCTCTTCCATGCTATGTAATGTTTGGTCATGAAATTTGAAATTTTGGCTACTTGATTGTATGATATTTGCAAAAATCTTCTGAAGTATTGTATCATTGACAATACTAGTACCAGTTCTAGTGGCTACCTTTATGCACAAAGTGGAACTTGATGGTATTTTGTTTTGCTGAAAATCCACACGCGAACGTGTGCTTCTTGTACCGTACTTTATCGCACTCAGTCTATAAAATATATTCTGGCACTTTCTGGCCAATTTTCCACATGCATATCCTCGCCGTTTCTCCTCATCTCGGTCCTCTTCCCGTTTTTCCCAATGGCTGCCGAATCGCCTGACAGCCATCCGGCAGGACCCCCGCCCACGATCCTCAGTAAGCGTCTCGGTCGCCGCAGCCGTTTCGCGCCGCAAGCCGTTTAGACGACGCAATACACTCTTCCTGACGCACAGCCGATCGGCGTCCTCTCGCCTTTTGAGTTGTCGCTAGGTTCCTCTCGCTGGTGCCAGCGGGGCCGCCGTCGCCTCTCGCGAACGTCGCGCAAATTGAACGCGATTCAATTCAGCGTCTAGTGCGCCTATTGCGTGTCCCCGTTAGTGCCGCGTCGTCTGCAGCACCAACGCTTCGTGTGGATGTGGAATTCGTTCTATTGCCTCCTCATTACCGTTATCTCACTTTCGCGAGCTCACCGTTCGCTGTCGTTTTCCCAACGTTCTCTCCCCTCTCCACCCCTCCACCCCCTTTGCTCCCTCCTTCCACGTCTCCGTCGCAGCGCGGGACAAACAGGGCCTCTCGCTATTGTCTCACGTTACTGCATCGCAGGTCGAGCCGATCGCCGCCGTTCAGAAGTGAGAAAAATCGATGTTGTCGGATGGTCACACTTGTCCGATAGTCACACTTGTCCGATAGTCACACTTGTCCGATAGTCACACTTGTCCGATAGTCACACTTGTCCGATAGTCACACTCGTCGGGTAGTCACATGCGTCGGGTAGTCACACTTCTCAGAAGCACGCATTTCACATCTGCCTCTCTCTGCTTCCCCCTGCCACGCACCTTATGGCTTGTACTACCGACATCCACCGCACTTGACCCAAACTATCAGTTCCGTCACTGTCCCAAACCGCTCACTCACGTCAGGGCATGCCACGTCAGCACCGCCCTCGTCCTCCACTCAAAACAATTTCCGAGGCGCCTCAGGGGCTTACGTCAGCACCGACCCTTGACCCCCGATTAAACTTGAAACCCGTCACCCTTACCTTGTATACGATGTGTCTCCGGTTGCTCACTGCTGCCTTCCCTCCCTGCTGCTTCCCCTTGTGTCCCTGCATGCAATCCATGTCCCTCTGTTAAGCCCAGAACCCGAAACTCTCTTTCCTTTATTCTGACCTCTCGGCTTTTCCTGTAGTTTTGAGGTGCCCCCAAGTCACCCAAAGACAAAAGCAAAAGCCACCCAGCCCTCCCACCACCCCATCATGCTCCCTCGCTCCTCCTCTCCTCTCCTCATTTCCCTCCCCAGAGTGCCCTGCTCACAGACCAAGTTCAGCCCCGATGGCACCCTCGTGGCCGTCACACATGCCAGTGGGTGGGCTGCCACTGCCCCACCTATTGCGCCAACTGCACCCCACATGTTCCCCACCCCCTCCCCCCCTCCCCCCTTCCCTCCCTCCCTGTGTGCTCTGCTCGCAGGCCAAGTTCAGCCCCGATGGCACCCTCGTGGCCCACAAGCCACGGTCACCGCTTTCTGCATCACCCGAACTGACGTCGCCTTCTGCACATGCTTGGGGACGTATGCCACGCTTTCTGCATCACCCGAACTCCACATGTCTCCAATCCCCTTCCCACCCCCTCCTCCCCCTTCCCCCTGTATGTACCAGTCTGCCCTGCTCGCAGGCCAAAAATCAGCCCGGATGGCAGCCTCTCCTGCTCACGTTCTTAGCGTTCAACAGACACCAGTCCCTCACACTTTCCTATTCCTCCACCCTCCCGTCCCACTCCCCCACCCCCCTCCCCTTCCCAGTCTCCCCTGCTCGCAGGCCAAGTT